TCCTCGGCATCATCATCTCAGCCACTTCTCAGCCATATTATCCTCCTCCCTCTCGTCCTCATCACTACTAGTTCCAAGTTCCACAACTTCCCTCTTCTTTATATCGGTTTGGAAAGATTCATTAGGCTCACTTCTTGAGGAGGAGCTGGAGGTGGACAGCCCAGCAGGCGTGGTAGTGTCTTCCTCAATGACAGGTGGAAGGAGATGGCTATGTTGGGGACAAAACACCTGACATGGAATCGAACTTGCAGCCTTCTGGTTGACAGCCAAACACACACCCTATCCGACGACACCACACCAAAATACTTCCACTCATTATACCGTCTCTCAGTTTGAACCCTCCTCACCTCTCCATCAGGCACTCCACTATAGCCCGCACAAAAAGGATGGAACGGAGCATCGCAGGTCTTGGCAGTGGAAGTAGATCCTTTCCGATTTCGTTTCTGAGGCAGTCTGGCATCACATAGAAGCATCACCCCTCTCTGGTCCGCCGGGGCAGCTTGGATGATGGAGTCGCCGCATATCACACAGCGGTAAGATGCAGAGTCTGACTCTTCGGAAGAGAGAAATCTGGTCGAAAGGATATCATGTCCGACAATCCTCCGCAACCCTCGAGTTCGAAAGCCACAGAATACATCATACCTTCCACAAATTCATGAAATCTTCTGAGTAACAGCTCCGGTATATCAATGTTTTTGAATTTACTTTCAACGGCTGTGATCATCAAAATTCATTTAAATTCCCTCAAGATTTGCCTTCATCATTAAAAACTATGTGATATATAGGAACACCCAAGCGTCCCTCTATTACCCATCATCATCATCCTCTTCATCTAATGTATCAGCCTGCTTAGCCTCCTGTACTTGAATAACCTGTTCAATCATCAACCGCCATGCCGTCTTCATCGAGGACCCCTCAGGCCCTCGTTTCTGGAGGCTATACTCAGCAACATAATGGATGGTAGCTCGGCAACTTGGACAAGAGTTCTCCCGCTGAGTACTCCAATGCTAAAAAGGAGTACCCATCCTTTCATGGATACATCGTATTAGTGATTACATTATTATCATTTTCGTACCGTAAATGCGAAATCAGAACTTTGTGAGGGAAGTTGGAAAAAATTCTCCCGAAGACAAATTTCCCAGAGAAATGTCTTTCAATAAAACTGCAGTATCATCCATCAATGGCAGCATCCTGGCTCGAGCTCACCTCGAGACAGCCAACATGGAAGGTGTGTTCGCAGCAATCCATTTTGGCGTATCGTGGAGGGCCATCCGTAGGAGCCATACCTTCAACATCCTCATCACCGAAGGCTTCTCGGCAGATTGGACAATCAATAGAGGCGCCACTAGGAGTAACAAAACCAGCATCAACGAAGGAGATCTGAGGAAAAGGGCGAGATGAGTTCCGATGACCT